AGGGCTGAAAATGAGATACAAGTGCAGAATGCAATCATGCCAAGAAATTAAGTGACTTTGTGTTTGTGTTCCATTTCCCCTTCTCCACCAATGTGTGTACAATGACCTTGCTTGTGACAAGGTAGATGCCGAGTAGAGAGCATATGGTATTTGAACACTTGGAATCTAGATTCCTTGAGAGCAGGACCACAGGTGCAGTGTTTGACAAGTCCTGGATGGATGTGCTTAAACGGGTAATCTGACCCTAAATTCCCCTCAGTACTATATGGGCCACAATACAGTCCCTTCTGCTGACACACCTTGCACCAGAGCAGATATCTATTGTTATTCTGGGTACCATGTCTGTAGCAGGGACATGTCACACAGGGCCCAGGGGCCAGCTCCATGCCCATGTCCTGTGTACAGCTATGTTGGGCCAGAGCCGTGAAGCCTGGAGAAAGCCTGAGGCTCTGAGAAACCACAGGATTTACTTTGTTAAACAACATAAACTTATGTTCCTCAAAGACAAAAAGCGCTATCCCAGACTTCTACCCAGGAGGACAGGAGATGACTCTGGAGGCTGTGGATAAACATGGCCCCTGTCCTTCTTCTCCTGCCAGCCCTGTCCTAGATGGGAATGTGAACATGACAGTGGCCAAGGCTCAGTTTCCCTGTCCCTGCCCAGGAGCATCTGCCCTCAGTGCCTGTCCTCAGACCCCCTCACACTGATGACCTAGGGAGGGAATTGTTTATGCAGACTTACAGTGGTGGCCAGGCCTAAATAGCCTTGTCCGGGAGTCTGTGTCTCTCAGTGGCTGGTGGCAGAGCCTAGGGACATCTGGCCTAGGCTCCTTCTTCTGTCTGGGTGCCTGGGGACTGGGCCTGGTGAAGCCTGTTCTATGCTGCCTTTGATAGTAGGGCAGTTCCCAGTGAGCATCCTGAAGTATCTTGGCTGAATGAACCATCCTCTCACTTGTTCCCAGGTAGTTTTCCCATGGCGAGTCCTGAGGCTGGGGTTTTGAGGCCTGGGAAAGCAGCATAATGTATTGACTGATCACTCTCTCTAGCCAAGTGCCTGTGAAGGCCAACTGTCACCAGACCAGGGTGCTTGGTGACCAGATCCTTCAGAGTTCTGTTTAGATCTGTTGCCAAGCAAATGAGGTCATACGCTAGGGTCAATAGCTGGGCTGCCTCCTCTAATGCCCAATTTATTTTTACAAATCTATTCTCCTTAGAAAGAGCAACTGAAAAACTGGAAAACTGAGTGTGGTTTTACACTGTGCTACACTTTGAAAATTTAAATGCAGCAAACATGTAGATGCTTAAGATGTGGCAGGCATTGTGCCAATCACACAATTCCATCCAAAGGGTCCCTTGTCTCTGAAGATGAGGTGTTTAGTGTCTTCACTTAGAGATATGTCACATTTTCAAGTGACCTCCTTTCCTGGGCATATGGTTTCATTTCAATTCCATTAGGGAGCATGGAGATGTTCCCAGACTGCCCATAATATTTTTCCTTGAAGGACGTGAATGTTTCATGTTAAAACTTCCGCATGTCCGGGGGAGGAGGATTCCTAGCAAGTTTTCCTCTCACATGCCTATGAATGATTACTTATGAGTCCTTGGATGTTTACCTCAGCCACACACTGTAGTTCTCCATACTCTGACAGCCTGTGAGGGGGGACAGCAGGTGGTGAGAGCAAGGGAAGACTTTGCAAGTCCATGAACATCATTGCCCCGTGTGGATGAAGGACACATGTGTGTCACTCCTGGGGAACTTGTCTGCTAGCAGCTGCTATCACTCCTGTCCTCCCATCCCAAACAGTCCATGAGCTTTGTGTCCCTCCTGGGTAGTTTGCCTTTCCTGTAGGTGATGGTGCTGAGCCTGTTTAGTGGCAATGCTCTTTGCTTGGTATACTTCAAGCAGTGTCTCCATGCTTGGCTCCTCCTATGCTATCACTACCTGCTATTATGGGGATGAACCAAACAACTGCAACTTGTTCATGCATGTGTCATCTATGTGCTGATGGGCATTTGTTCTGTTTATGGCTTGATTCTTGAAAGCAGGGTACCACAGCCATTTTTATTCATGTTCTTGTGTGTATATACACTTTTATTTCAAAGAAAAGTGCTTGAATGTGAAATTACTGGATCATATTTCTGTTGTATGGCTACCTTAGATATTCTTAAAGTATCTTTGGAAGCAGTTGATTCAAGCAGAGTTCAATGGTTGGTTTTTGTTTTGTTTTGTTTTATTATGCTATACTATGCCATGCTATGTTATGTTCCACTATGTTATGTGTTGGTTAGGATTTTGAAACTCCTTCAGCATGTTTGCAGCGCTTTCTGATTTGACTTTGAATAACCAACCTGAGAAAATATAAGAATATAACATAATCTGACTAATTTTGCTTTGGAGAAAATTTAAAAAGGAAAACCCAGTCAGGGATGTTGGTGCACACTTGTCATTCCAGTACTCAGAAGGTTGAGGCAGGGGGATTGTAGTGAGTTTGAGGTCAGTCTGGGCTACAAAGTAAGATGAAGACCAGCCTGAACTGCATAGTGAAACCCTTTCTAAAAATAGAATGAAAAAAGAATGAATGAATGAATGAATGAATGAAAGACAAAAATAATATAAAAATGAAAAGTCAAGTCAGCTGTCAATTGAGAAATCAAATCTTTGTGAGATTTTCTTGAATATGTACTTTAGTCAACACAACTAGCATAAGATTTACCATCATGCAGGCATTGATGATCTGCCTGGTATTTGCATTTATTTAATTTTTTAAAGTTTTTACTGAAATCACTGCAGATATGCTACTGAATATACACTGTTAAGATATGAGTAGCTCAGTATAAAGAGAATTTGATCATTCCTATTTTCTCTGTCCTAAATTTATATTTTGAATGAGAATTGGATCAAGGGATTACATCTTTTTTGAAATAATAATAAGAATCATGTAAAGATACTCTTTCTGTGTCTATAAAATGGTAAAAATAATTATAGATTAATAGTGGTTAATGTACCTTGCACTGGGATTTCTAAATGATTGATATTTTCATACATTTTTAACATTATTTACAAATTTTAACACATGGTCTCACTAATTTTCCAAGTTTCCCAGGCTAGGCTTAAATCTTTCCTCATTCTTTCTCAACCTCCCAGAGTGCTGGGATTACAGGTGTACATTATCCTGCATTGGCAATTGATAGCAATGTTGTGTATTCATGGAATAAAATGTTCAGCTTTGGATTTTAGACACTTTGTAGAAAGAGTCAATCTATTTAAGCTATCTGCTACCTTCCTAGCCTGCAGTTTCTTTCACAGAGAGTAAGACTGAAAATCCCATTAACACTGTTTTAGATTCTCTGATTTTTAACTGTGGTCAGCATGCACTTCAGAGCATCACTCCAATTGCCTTCTGCACTGGGACTGAGGCTTGGTGTCCTTGAAGCACATTCTCTTTTTATTTAACCCCTCCTACAATTTGATGATTGTTTGAATTCTGACCCCCAGAAAGGTGTGAAAGTTAAAGCTACTTGGGGCATACTGCCCTCCAGAAGGCCAGGCCAGTGTAAAACATTATTTTCCCTGAAGTTTTACTTTCCAAGGGTTTGTTTTGGTTTTTGGATGTTGATTTTTGTTTCTATTTTTTGCTCTGTTCATCAGTGTGTCTGTCCCTGATGTCTGTGGGTCAGTGATACCAAAGGAAACCACACACCCATTAAGGGTCATATTTCATTTTACTCAGGGATGCAGCCATTCTCTTTGGTATCCTCAAACTAAACCTACAGTGTATATTCTTGTAACTACTTTCAGTTATTTAGTTTTCTAAGCAAAATATACTCATCATGCTGCTTCTACTGAAGGAAACTGTAGCAGTCCTGAGCCCATCTCTTATTTCAGGCTCCATACCTTGACCAGCCTGCAGTGTCCCCACTTTCTGAACTGCTCCCTGTGAGTAACTGTCCTGCTCCACAGCTGTGGTGAGTCCACATGCAGCAGTTGAGATCTGCACTGGAGTGGAAGACATTCAGTCAAAGTGGGCTCTGTAACAGGATGACCTTCTTGAACAGAGGTGCCCTGAGTGAGATAGGGGCTACAGGCCTGCAGGGAGGAGCTCTGGCAGCAGGACCGTTCCAGCCATCTCCTGTCCAGCCTGCAAGCTGTGCTGCTTTGCTGAGAAGCTGACTCATAGATCAGCAGGCCTGAATCTGGGCCTTCCTTGCCATGGTTCTTGCTAGGTGTCATGGTGTCCAGCACCTCTGCCTGGTCCATCTTCCCCACCTTCAGATCTCAATAGAGATCTGCACAGCTTTGGGCTTCCCTTTCCAGGCTGCAACTCTATGCATAAACTTCAGGTGTGAATCTGTGAGTATGAAACTCAACCTTTATACACTTAACCTGTAAATTCAACATCTAAGGCTTCATTATGAAGAATGAGGTTGATGACACCCATATTCTCATCTTATTCAGCTTGGCTGTGAATAGTTAGAAACCACTGAATGTACCACAGCAGAGCTACTGCATCAATTATAAAATTACAGTCACTGAAATTGTGGCAAGAAGACCATGTCTCAGGCCATGTCCCCAGTGTTACCTGAGATGACAGAGAGTTTATGGTCTGGCCCTCTCTCTACCCAGCAGTGAAGACACAGAGGCCCATGCAGCAGGTCAGGACAGGAGAGAGGGGCTCATCGATATCAGACCATGATCCTGGGGGTATGCCTATTTCTTTTTTGTCCATTTTTTATTCCATTGAATTAATCATAGTTCTCTATTCAATATTACTTCTATTCAGTTTAGTTAACAATAAATAGTGGCTAATTTCTTGAATACGTAAGTGAAAATGGATGATTTAATTACATTATATATAATGAAATGCACAGTACATACTTTGAATATCTATCTGTGTGTGTGTGTGTGTGTGTGTGTGTGTGTGTGTGTGTGTAAAGGAGTCTTGATATTCAGAAAGGCAACATTCTGTTTATCACTATCTCTAACACGTCATGTTATGCAGGGCCCTTCCATGGTGCAGTGGTGCTAGAAGCCACCATAGAAGCCACCGTGCGCATCTGTGCCTGCTAATGCCAGAAGACAGCAAGAGATTTGGTTCAGTGCTTATTTTTCCAGCAAAGAAGTCCTGAATCTTCCTGCTGCCAGGCAGCCCAGGGAGTGAGCAGCATGCAGAGGAGCCCAGCACTGCCTGCCTTACACCCCTTTCCTCCACCATATCCATGCTGCAGCCCTGCCAGGGTGCAGCCAAGACTCTGCCTCCTCAGCCCCAGGGTCCTCAGGTCCTGAGTCCTGGCCTCAGCCTCCACCAGGCTTCAGGTGCTTCCATGCATTCAGCTGGCAGAGTGGTTGGGGTACACTCTCAGCCCCACATGCACCAAGATCACTGACCACATTCACCTTTCCAGTCTGCAAATTTTGCTCCTCTCCTTTCTGACTGAGGCTATGGCATTGGAACAAAAGACAAAATGTCATTACTTTTTCTTTTTGTTCTTTTTTTCTGGTTTCTTTATTTATTAAAACACATATTTAGAATTATATTTTGCAAAAAACCTTTCTTTGTCTTTTCATGCCCCACTTAAGTGAAGTTCTTACAAATTTCTACTGCAGTTCAAACCCATGTGCTTGAATGCTCAGAATCCACTCTGCAGCTTTGTAGCATGGGGAACCAAAGTAGAAACTGCATTTGGGGATATTTTTTGCCTTGTAGCATCTTGACAAGAAAACCCTGACTCCTGTGTTTTTACCTCCAAAATATGGGCTTCTGTACCAACTGAATCTGCCACTGACAAAATGAGTTACTTGGGTTCTCATTTCCCCTCAATTGGGTAAGCACATTGTCTAAGATTTCTTATGCCCAAACTTGAAAAATAATTTCCACTAGACAAGATGCTGCCACCCATCCTGAAATAATGATAGGATTTTATGTAAACACATAGTCCAACCCACACCATGGCAGCCATAAGCTGAGAGAGGGGCAGATGTTTTGTGCAGATAGAAACACCAGAAATAGTCCACTAGCAGCAGCAACAAGCATGGAACAGAGCAGCTAAGCCTTCACAGTTGGGTGATGGAATGGTGTGGTAGGTTTTGCCCTGGTATACCTTTGTGGCTTGGTAAATCCAGGTTGCTACAGGGATTTCCCTTCCTGCAATGCAATGTCAAAGGAAAATCATGTACATATAGCATTTATTTTCCATTTTTCTTTTGCATTTATGGAATCTGCATGCATAAGATTTTATGCCTCTGCAGTGCAGACCCATTCATGGGCATTATTCCCATGTCTTGTCAAGGGCCAGTTTATTTACACAACATGCAGAGCACTTTTCTCAGCCGTGTTTCTCCAGACTTGTGCATTTTCAATCATTTCTTCAAAGGAAACTAAACAATTTAGTTTGAGCAAACTTCGAGCTGCCGTGCTTTCGTTTGACATCCTTGCTGCCAGATCTGAAAAAGGCAGTGAGTTGGACCTGCTCGAGAGTTTTCCCCAGAGGGGACACTCTTTGCACAGCTGTGTCAGGCAGAGCTGCTCATTAACTAACTGGCCACACTGAAATCAAAATGTCCTTGCCCCATGCTGGTCCTGGTTTTGGGAAGCATTGGATTGCAGTAGAAACTCCCTGTGCACTGGCTGGCCCTTGGAAAGCCTTGTGTTGCCATGAGATTGTCACCCCTAGACCTGCACCTCTGTGGCCCTGGGGTCAGGGCAGAGTTCCTTCCAGCAGCCATGCACAGCACCCTCCAGGCAGCTCTCCTGTGCACCCTCTACATGGAGGCTAAGGAGAGTCCCAGTTGCTTCCTGCTTCAAATAGTACTGTGAATCAAACTTTTGAACAGAAATCTTGAAAAGTTGTGCAAGTATCTCCCTGGGAGAAATCTCTGTTCTTAGCCCTGCATGGTCCAGGGACTCCTGTGAATAGCTCTGATGGGAGCTGTGGGTCAAGGCTCTGTGTTCCTATTTCAGGAAGCTCTGTAACTCAAGCAATTCTCCTACATCAGCCTCCAAAGGTATATTTCTTGTATCTGAATGGAAAGTGATCACTTGGTGACACTGAGCTATAATTTGAAGCTTGCACCTGGTTTCATTGTTTATACATTTTTTACATACAGCAGTTTTTGGTGAATATTTGAGTTATTATTTATGTACCATATTTGATGTTATTTATGTTTTGTTCTATGAAACCAAATTGAAATATCAAAATGCTGCTTAAGTATATTAAGAACAAAGGACTCAGTAACCTAAATGAGATTTGAAGAGATATCATTTGTAGTACTCAAAGTGATTCATGAGATATTTGTCTGCCTCTGTGCTTTATGGATGCTGGGCCTGCAGTCTCTCACTATAAGCTCTGCTTTAGAGACAGTGCACAGAGACACTTGCAGTGACTCAGCACAAATATCAGTGCACCTATTTGGCTGTTACATTAGCTGTGAGTTGCAATATAGCATCAAATTTGCTGTCTCAAAAATGTGTATATACAACAAATTAATCCCCAAGATATGAAATTAGGATTTGAAGAAATCAGTCTCCATTCAGATTTTTGTTTGGTTTTATTTGTTTAGTTTAGTTTTGTTTTATTGAGACAGGTTTTCTCTATGTATATCAGCTAGATTTGAACCCCTTATAGAACACAGAATTGCCCTAATCTCAAAACAGCACTCCTGCCTCAGCCTCTTAAGTGTGGGGATTATAGATACGTTATCTTTACCCCAGAAAATATTGAGCCTTGTAACTTAGCCGTGTTGTAGCTTGGCATAATAGATGCCATCTTGAGCTTTGCATTTAACTGGTGCCTTGTATTTCACCCAGAAAAATGGAAAATCACTCAGAGTAGAAGTCCCAGGATAAAAGCAAAATGAGCTGTACCCAAAGAAAAAAATTAACCTGCTCAACTAAAGAAGCAGAATACAGTTGTTATCCAAAAATTATTAAAAGATTCTAGCTAAATGATTTCCAATAGGATTTTTTGTGATTCTATCTTTTAAAACATCTGTAACTTTTTAGTTCAGAGCCTCTTGTTTAGATCCTGAAATGGGGGTGGGGGTTCTGTATACAAGTGGTCCTGAGCCCACCTAATGTAATTCCACATTTCTCAGTTGGGTTGTTTGGCTCCCTATATTGTTGTTCAGAAACTCAACTCAAGCTGCATAAGCCTTTACTGACACAAGCAAACACTAGGATTAAATGCCAGTGCCACCGAAATGAAAAAATAATAGTGAAAATGAGAGGAGGAAAAAGACGAAAGCCATGTGTTGTAATGCCCACCACTTGTCCCCAGCAATAAAGAGGCTGAAACAGGAGAATGACCATATACTCAAGGACAGCCTAACCTACATAGTGAGTGTAAGGCTGGGCAGAACGCCAAAGTGAGACTATGTCTTTAAATCAAAAAAGTAAAATGAAAAAAATAAACAATGAAGGAGACAGAAAAACTATTAAAAAATAAAAAAAAAACAACAATAGAGCTGAGTAAAATTTGACTTATGTAAAATGGGAATTATTGAATGATTCTGTAGAGAAACGAAGGCCATGTAGAGGCATCCAGGAGGCAGTGACAAACAGGCTTAGGAATGGCACCTTTTGTGCTACAGCACAGCAGTGACCTCTTTCCTCCAATACATTTGCAGTTCACTAGACTGAGGACTTCTAAAAGCTCATGGAAATTTGAAACTCATGGCAAACAAGCAGCTTGAAATGCAGACTTTGGAACATGGCCTTTAGCAGACATTTCATATTTAAATTGAAATAAGAGAAATATAGTACTGCCCTGATTGATGTCAAATGCACCAAGTTTAATGGCTCACAACATTGAGAAATGAAGTCACAAACAAAAGAAGATCAAAAATTTTCTTTGAAAAACAGAGAGAAGAATAGCCCTGAATTTTCAGGAGTGGTCTTCAGAGATTTGGCCACAGACTTATTGTCAGGGGTCATTTATACAGGATAGTCACAATGTGGGAACAGTTTGGGTCTCAAACTATAATCAACCTATAAGCTTATAGCAGCTTACAAATATTATTCATCAGGGGACAAGTCATCCAGAAAAGGTATGTGGAAAGAGCCAAGACATTTTGTGGGAACAATAGCCCAGTTGATCTGGTCATTGAGTATGGGAATTGAGGCCTATCTGAACTTTCTGGGGGAGGTGGTGGTAACTTTAGTACATTTAACGCTGTTGTTTATCTCTTCAGGAGCATGTAGACATGGTCACTGTATATTCACCTTCAAGTCTGGCTTTCTTCAGCTGTGCCTGTAGCAATGATAGTTGTATTTAGTTTTTTGCATTGACTTTCTGAATTTCCAGTTCCTCTCTGCTTGTATATCAATTTCTGTGTACATTGACATCCTTTGCTAAAATCACAATACTATTTGAATGGATAAGGTGATGTTTAAACATTTAAAAATATTCATTAATGCAGGCCAGGGATTTAGGTCAGCAGGCAGAAACACATGCCTGGAAAGTGCTAGGTTGTAACTTTGATCCCTGGTACCTAAAAAAAAAAGTAATTTAAATGGCAAGGAATGAAAATAATTTCATTTGGGAAAATGTAGCTTTACAAAAATTTATCACTAAATATGTCAATGGCAAATTAAACATTGCTAATAGTCATATTTAGTATCTAAATTTGTTGGGGCTGGGGATTGAGCACAATGATACAAGGAGCTGCCTGGAGAGTACAAGGTCATGAGTTCAATCCCTCATACAGAAAAAAAAATCACAGTTGTCAATGATGCAGTGCTATGAGCACATTTATTGAAACTGATACTTTGTATTTAATAGGCTCAGTATTTCTTTTGTGATCTATGAAATACCTGCAGATAACATGGCAATTACAGTGAATGATGTACTGTCCCCTACAGGATTGCTATTTTCTGAGTTGTTTTTATTTTTTGTTTTCCCACATACTTGAAAGTTGAAAATGTTGTCTGATGCTAGGTAGAAAAACTGTGATAATCATTTTTTCAATTTAATGATATATTTCTCTATATCCACTAAGAAAATTTTATTTGCTACAATTACTCCAAGTCAAATTGATAAACAATTATTAAAGTTACAGACAGCTGAGTTAGT